TATATGAAGATTTTTTAATAGATACATAAAAATCATAATTGTTTTGTACCTCAGTTCAAAAGGCTAGTAAAATTAATATTATTATTATTCAAGAAAATAATCTTAAATAATATAATTGGTTTGTATATTTTATAAAACTTGTAAAGATGTTAGCCTGCAGTAATGCAGTAATTACATTCATTAAGAATGGTAAGTATGAGTTAAGTAAAAGTATTCAGTTCAAAAACTTTTCAACAACGCTATGAAATCAAAGAGAAGTATCCTCTTGTAGTGTGCGCCATAAACCATGTTTATTCGGCATGTGTGAAGCGAAGGATGATAAGATGGTGGGAGGTGGACTGCCCAAGAGGAATGGAATTGGGTGGAGTGGGCGGAAGCTGGGGCCACCTGCTAGGCTCGAGTGCATGGAGTGAAGTTCCATTGCGAACATGGGCAGCATGTCGCTCCATTAATTTGCCATAAAACAGAAGTGGACTAAAATTTGTTTGTCGTTGTTATTGTCCGAGCAAAAAATTACAAATGGTTCAGATCCAGGAGAACCAGCCCACCCGGGTTGGGGGTGGATGTGAACTAGTTGTGGGGTCAACGTTAGGGTCTCCTTATTTATGGCGCAACCACTTTTGATGTTCTGTTAAATGTCCGCAATGACACATTGAGGACATCCCCTATTTGTACTAAAGTACAAGCCTGACGTAGAAGGACATTAGTGGGGGCGTTGTGATCTACTTTTCATTCCCATACTGTTGTGTAAGGACATGGAAACCATGAGCTTATTTTGTCTGCAATCTGAACCCAATGTTAATTTGCTGCTATATATTCCCAAATTATAAAGATTATATGAACAGAGCTTATTAAAAATATTACGTATACGCCATGTAGTCTTTTAACGGCGATATTGTTATTATATTATAACGAAAATTAAGACTATTTTTTAAAGCAATATAAAACAAAATGTGTGACAATTAGTTGTTGAATAAAACATTTTAACTTAGTACCCCCGAGATCAATATTTTTTACTCATAATTATTATATAGCTTTTCAGTGAAACCAATCCAACTAAGTCAGCTTTTCTTATCTTTGTGATAAAATTCAACAACAAAGTGATACCAGAAAAAATAATTTTACCACAATTGTATTGCCAGCATTAAATATATCAATAAAATTATTTTATTTATAAACTAAATTATTGCTGAATTGATTAATTTACTTGGAAAGTATTTAAAATAAAAAATCTACCGTTTCGCGTTTCACATTTTTTCAAATATCTATGAAACACTTTTTTGAAATATTTCTTATTTCCATCTAGACCTTAAATTTATCAAATGAAGTACAAAGCTTGTTTTTATAAACAAGAAACTTCCTTTTGTTATCGTAGTTTTAATTCTTTTTATTTCACTTTATTTTAATTTTATGTTAGCGTGCTTTTTACAATGTCTCTCTGTTCCTCTCTTTTATCGTAAAGTGACCGTTCTCTGATATTCACGTTATCCTTAGCCTTTTTCAATATTAGTTTTACTTAATTCTATATCAAATCGGAACAGCGGGATTGGTACATAAATGTGGATGTTGGTACTTAATTAATATAACTTAGAAATAGCTATAGACATGTTAATCACATCATCATACACTGCTTACAGCTCGGCCATCCTGACAATTAGATCGTCCTCGATCGTGGGTTTCTAGTTTATATAAGTATTATTAAAATGTTCTTACTTTTAGTAAAGTAAATATAAATATAAATAATTTGTAAAGAATAAGTTAAGTTGTAAAATTTTGGTTAATAATTTAGATATTAATTGTTTAAATATATATAGGTTAGCTTAACATTTATTAGGAGTTAATTTCACACTGATTACGCCAATCTGCCCATTTTCGTAACCGACATGCTTCTACAATTCCATCATAGGGAATTTGACTAATTTGACAATTTTCAATATCAGCTATAACATATCTATCGTTTGGCAAAATTCTTTTAACGACGTATGGTCCTTTGTACTTCGGTACAAATTTTTTATTTGTACCAATTGTGGTGTCAATGTTTCTCATTACAACAAAATCGCCTTCTTCGAATTCTACATGACTTTTGTGATTTTTCTGATAATATTCCTTGCTTCTTTTCTGAGACTGTTCTATTTTATCTGAAGAATTCTTACGGACATTTCCTAAATCGCACTGTGGTCTATCATTTCTATCATCTAAATATTCTGTCAATGCGTCAATATTACACCCTCTCTGCTGAACTCCAAATAATAATACTGATGGTAATTCCTTCGTCGTTGAATGCACTGAATTATTAATGGCATATTCGGCCTTAACCAGTAGTTTGCTCCAATCCTCGTGCTTTATTGGTTCAGTTATCTTAGCTAACATTGCTTTCACTGTTCTATTTACTCTTTCCACCTGACCGTTCGCTTGAGGTGACGCAGTTGCTACTTTAACGTGTTCAATATTATTTTCTAATAAAAAGTTGGCAAACTCTAATGAAGTAAAACACGTACCCCTATCACTTATAATTCTACGTGGTCGACTGTAATATTGAAAATATTTCGAAAAACACGTATTGACTTCTTTCGTACTCGTTGAATTTACAGGAAACAATTTAACAAATTTGGTAAATCCGTCAATAATCACTAACAAATGTTTCTTTTTCGATATAACTGAGGGCAATGGTCCAAAATGGTCTACATGTAATGTATCAAAAGGAATTGGTCGCTTGGGTATATTATGTAGGGTTCGATTATTCGCATGTGTAGGTACTGTAAACATGATACAATTCAAACAATTGCCAATAAATGCCTCTATTTTAGATTTCATGTTCGGAAACCAATAATGTCTCAATATTTCCTTCAAACATTTTTCAGTACCTAAATGACATAAATTTTCATGGACTCTCCTAATTATATGGGATTCCATTTCAACTGGTACATATAACAATTCAATATCTTTCTCACCTAATCTGTAAACTATTCCATCGTTCAATATAAAATTTTTCACATTTCCATGTTCTAATTGTTCTTTCAGTTTTACTATAAGATTATCCCTATTTTGCGTTATCTGAAGCTGAAGATTGATGTCGTCATTGTCAATTACTGAAACTATTTGGTCTTTGTTGTCACTTTCTTGGATATTCAATACAGGTTCATATTCAAAATTTTCATTTAAGGCTGAAGGGTATCTACTCAATGTATCAACATGATTCATATATTTTCCACTACGATGCTTAAGTGTATAATTATAATTCGCCAATTCTAAAGCCCATCTGGCAATACTTGAATTAAGGCGTCCTTTCCCTAGACATAAAACTACTGCATTACAATCTGTTACTATGTTAAATGGAATTCCTTCTAGGTATATTCTAAATTTTCGTAATGAGTAAACCACAGCTAGTGTTTCCAATTTAAAGCTTTCATATCTTGCCTCTAGTTTTGTTGTTCTCTGTGAAAAATAAGCTATTGGATGGAACTTGTTATCATCCTGTTTTTGTAATAAGATTCCACCAAATCCCTCGCTACTTGCGTCGCAATGCAATTCCGTTTCTCGATTTGGATTGTACAAAGATAATATAGGGAATGAAATTAATTTCTCACGAAGATATTCAAAAATATTGATACAATCCTCATTGAGTTCATACTTAACACCTGCTTTTGTGAGCTCCTGCAATGGCTTTGCTATTTTTGAGTACGCCGGAATAAATCTTCTAAAGTAAGAAAATAGTCCTAAACATTTCTGCATTCCATGGCGATCTTTTGGTATCGGAAGATTTTTAATAGTTGATGTATGCTCGTTATTCGGACTTATCCCTTTTTCACTGAGTGTGTATCCTAAAAATTCAATACTTTTGTAAGCGAACTGGCATTTATTTATTTTAATTTCCAATCGATATGCTGCTAAAATTCTTAATACTCTTCCTACCGTCTTAAAATGTTCATTCAATGTCTTCGAACCTATAGCAATATCGTCTATGTAAACTACTACATTTCCTTCGCGGATCAAAGGTTGCAGAATAAAATTAATAAATCTCATGAATACCGCGGGTGCATTCATGAGTCCGAAAGGCATTCTTGTGTATTCATACTGTCCGGAAGGTGTTACAAAAGCTGTATATTGCACTGAACTTTCTGCTACTTTCACTTGGTGGTATCCACTTTTCAAATCTAAAAGTGTGAAGTATTGATTTCCTTCTAAACGCTCTAAACAGTCATCTATAAGGGGAAGCGGGTATCCATCACGAATGGTTATCTTATTAAGTTGCCTATAATCTACGCACATGCGCTTTTCCCCAGATTTCTTCTTAACAAGTACAATAGCAAAACTATAGGGCGAATTGCTTTCTCTTATAAATCCTTTTTTCAATAATTCGTCAACTTTAAAATCTACTTCTTTCTTTTCCTGATATGAAAGTCTTCTTGGAACAGAACGTACAGGTTCTTCTGACTTTAGTCTTAACCTCATTTCGTAACTATGTTGAATCGCTGGGATGTTAGATAAACATAAATAATTCAATCTTATTATTTCACTGAGCTCACTCCGATCTCTATCACTCAACTTTGGGTCAATGTCAAAACTTTCATCATCCTTAAATACATCTATACTATATATCTCTGGTATGCTGTTATCACTATCAATTTCACTTTCTTCACATAAGTCTTCAAAACTTCTACTGTCTATCAATTGATCACTGTCTCGATATGTTTCACTGTTCACTAATCTATTCAATGGTTCACTATTCTCTAAAATATTCAATGGTTCTCTAAAATATTCAATGGTTCACTATTCTCTAAAATATTCAATGGTTCACTATTCTCTAAAATATTCAATGGTTCACTATTCACTAATCTATTCAATTCAATAATTTCTTTTACTTTATACTTAGAAATCAATTTTATTCCAAATTTTTCCAAAAACTTACGCCCTAAAAGAACATTAGTTGCAACATAGTTGTTGGGTACAACAAAAAATGAGATTTCTTCTTCTATGTTTTGAAAAACGAGCTTAACAAATATTTTTCCGAAAGTTTTAATCTTAAATCCATTAACTCCACAATAGTCAGTCGGAAACAATACATCGCTAATGTTTTTATAAGGAATGGCAGCGTGTTGAATTAAATTAATGGCGCTACCCGTATCGAACATGGCAGAAAGGAAGGTTACATTAGGCTTCATTTGACAATCAGTGTAAAAATATACTCCTACCTGGTTAATAATCGGAATAAACATATTTGGCTCCTCTTCGTCATCCCGTATCGGCTGGTTGTTGGCTGCTCCCACCATTTTTGGGTTACTTGCTGGCTTCTGTTGGCAATCCTTTAGCATGTGCTGGAGCGATCCACAGCGGAAGCAGGAATTCTTCTCGCGCTTCGGCGCAGTGCACGACGAATCGTAATGCCCATAAGCGGAACAATTGTAGCAACGGATTGTGTTCCGATCTTTTCTAGTGTTTTCTGAGCGGAGGGAAAAATGTTGGGACTTCTTTGTTAGATTTTCATACTTCCGTGCCAACTCCTTCAATTTTTCGATTGTTGTTGCTGTGTACAATAGGGCGATATTGGCTGAACGATCGCGAAAACGATCAATTATAAGCTGAACTGTCAATTTTTCTTCGATGCTAGCACGCATAGCAATTTCCTCCATAAGAAGTATGTATCCCATAACAGTGTTTTTCAGCGGGTTGAAAATGGTCTCCTTTAACAGCAATACGATGTCAGCAGCACCACGACCAAATGTTTTTATAAAGTTCTCTTTAAATGCGTCATAAGTATTCGATTGGTCAACACGCAAGAACAAGTCGGCATCTGTTCCCGGTTTCATCAGCATTCGTACGCAGCGTAATTGGAAATTTTTACACTCGTTAACATCTCTGCAGATTCTCTCAAAATCCAAAATCCACTTAAAGGCTTCCTCATTTTCAGTGGCAGAAAACGGAATCATGAGCTGTTTCACCATACGAATGTCATCTGTAGTCTTGCTGTCGTTTCGCATTAATTCGGCCAGTATCTTCTTCTTCTTAGCTACCCTTATGGCGGCGTCAAGTAGTGCTTCTTCTTCTTCTAATTCGTCGATGTCTTCGCTAGCGCTCCGCTGGCTTACAACCTCAATTTTGGCATCTTCTTCCTCCAATAGGCTTTCTGGGATATTAGCCGCATCCTGGCAACCGGCATCCAATGCAAGCTTGCGCAGTTGTCTTAAAGTTGCACTTCCTGGAAACCTGATTTCATTGGCTTGAAGCCACTCTACAATGTTCGCCTTGTCCATTCCAATTTGGCGTCACTCGCCAAAACGCAATTATAGGAAAAAAACTTGTGCGTCTTCGGATAGCCAACAATGTTTATGTAGGCGGATGTTTAAATGGTGTCTATCCCACTTCTGAAGTTGTTATCGTAGTTTTAATTCTTTTTATTTCACTTTATTTTAATTTTATGTTAGCGTGCTTTTTACAATGTCTCTCTGTTCCTCTCTTTTATCGTAAAGTGACCGTTCTCTGATATTCACGTTATCCTTAGCCTTTTTCAATATTAGTTTTACTTAATTCTATATCAAATCGGAACAGCGGGATTGGTACATAAATGTGGATGTTGGTACTTAATTAATATAACTTAGAAATAGCTATAGACATGTTAATCACATCATCATACACTGCTTACACTTTATTTAATTGCTATCAAATTTTGTTAGTAAGCTAAATTTCAAAGTTGTATCAACTTAATTTTTTTAAATAGAACGAGTGAATGGCAAGCGGCCACCATTTTGGCATCAAAGATACAGCAAAGGCGTTCGAAACCTCGCAAAAAGGACTGGGCGGCACAACGTGTAGCCCAGGGACGCCAACAATCCTCATTGATCACATGCAAAAACCGATAGATATAGTCTTTAAACTCAGTAAACTACTGTGCATCATTCAATCAGTAGGCTCTAGTCCTAGCCATGCACAAAATCTAACGTTTCGACACCACCAGTATTTTCGAAAACAAAAATTTGTTGAGTTCCCAGTAAAGTATCAGTCGACCCCTTCTTTCAGCAACCAGATGGCCGGCATCGTTTTGGGCGGTATGGCGGCCTGTCGCCGAACCACTCACTATCTCGGACTACTCCGCATCTGCTTCCGCCCCCTCGGTCTGAATCCAGCCTTGGAACCACTACACCAGCGACGCTGCCGGCACACCTCGGAGTCCGAGAATTCCGGCGGTAAGAAGCCCACACCGGTGCCCCAGAGCTTGGACCAAAGTAAAGGACCGGCCGAGAGTGGATTGGAGATTACAGCAGCGCCGCCCAATCCTTCGGAGGTTCCTGGAGAACGCCGACCAGAGTCGCCCTACGAGGTCAGGCCCGAGCTGCCAATTGAGGTTCAGCCAAATCGATCCAATCCCTCGCCCAAAGAAGTGAAGCCACCAAATCCGCACACTATCATCTGCAACTCGGACAAAAATGAAACCTGCGGAGGCAAAGGTGTTGAGCCTGGTGATCCTGTTAATATTACGGAAACTAAAGGTGAGCAAAGCTGCGATGAGTATTTATAGATTAAGCCTTAAACCTCTTGCCTACAGATTTTATGCCAAAACTTGACTCACAAGCTTCGACTGCAGTGGAATTTATGAATAACTCCTCACCCCCCATTCAATCTATAAATTTATCTTCCACGGAATCAAAAGATAATCCTAAAATAGATAACTTATTCACAATTGAGTCCGAGCTAAAGGCCCTGGAAGCATCCATATCTGATTTCATTGATCAGCCTAACCATCAAACTATGTCTCCGATTACTGCTGAGATTAAATCGATGGACTCGACTTCAAATGGATCAGAAACTGAAAGCGGTTCAACAAAGTCAATAGATATGCCCTTTCAAACATCTTTTGTGATTCCATCTGGTTTAAAGCATCAAAAATTGACCCCAGCTGAACAAAAAGATAAGACCATATCTCAAATCACCACTTCGACAAAATCCCAGCCCTCAACTGAAGATGAATGCAAAAAAATTGGCACAACACAACACGGCTTGAGTGCAAAGTCTCAAACTTCTACCAAAATCGAAGATAGCTCTAAGCTCCAAGTTAAAAATGTGTATAGCAAAAAGGGCTTGGATTCCAAACAAAGAGAGGATTCTAAGCCATTTCATTCAAGTGTGAGTTCATTACCCGAACCCCAATCAAAGAAGGCAAGTTCTCAAGCCCTGGCACAATCCATCACCTCGGCGGACAAAATAGAACAAAGTCCTGAGCTTAAAACTAGTGAATCCCAAACTCCTAAAGAAGGCCAGAATTCCAGTTTTAATGTGCCTGGGGAGTGCAAGGGACCGGGGATCGAAGGCAGTTCCGAGACACTCATTCACAGCAGTGCAGAATTTAGTCGGATTCTAGATAAGGCTCACGAAAAAAGGTTCGAAACGGTCAAGGAAAATGCGGTTGATATGGAGGTGATCCAGAAGTGGGTGGAAAACTTTAAGTTGGCGGAGAAAAAGGCTGACTCTGCCCTCGTGAATAAAAGCTCAGAAGGAAACTCGGCGCTCTGCGAGGGTAATAAAGACAAGCCAGCCTATATCAAAGAATCTTTGGTGAAGGAAAATATTAAATGCGTGCCTAAGGACACAACATCTTCGGATACTGTCTTATCCCCCTCTGGTCAGGATTTTACTACAACAAAGACCACTAAGACCAGCACTCAAACGACACTGCCACTGAAAATCGTGGCCAAGCATGAAGCTCCAACCGAGTTCAAGAAAACATTCAAACCTATACCTTCCTCCCAGCTTAAGTCGAACAAGGATACAGACTTTAAAGCATCGGGTGAAACAACTAAGCCCATAGAATTTATTCTTAGTCAGCCTCCTGCAACTAGCAATGCGGAATCTAACCCCATTAAATCAAGTGCCATGTTTGTGACAGAGCCCAACAAGATCGTTTCCATTGCCCACGAGAAAACTAAAAACCAGTCCACAGATGAAATAGTGGCAATGTTTAAGGACGACAGCGATGGTGATCAGACCAGTATTGAAGAAGGCAGAGTCAGAGAATTGTTCGAGACGCTAGATAGATTTACTGATCCGAGTCCTTCGTGGACTTTGCCAGAGTTCTCTACAGCTACACGTATTGAAAGGGCACACCTTGATGAAACAGACTCGGAAAACAAAACTGACAATCACTTCAAAAAACTTGGCGACTTAGACTCAGCCATCCGAGAAGAGAAGGAAACAAAAATGCCGAATACTGAAGACAAACCCAACGACAATATTTTTGCAAAGCTTAGTAACATGGATTCAACCATCCGAGAGGAGAGCAGAGACGGGTCTGAGAAGAGCGAAAAGGAGGGTGAAATGAATGCCGATCAAGCAAGTTTTGACTTAGCCCAGAAGATTTCGTCCTTTGTAAAGTCTGCCGGGGAAAGTGGCACTAGCACAGACGCCACTCAAAACGCACGAAGATTAAATAAAATAAAGTCAAAGGCCAAAAGCAAAAACAATACGACATCGGAGCTAACACCTGGCGATCTCTACGATCCAATTTCTGATGAGGTTTCCGCCGTACCCCCGCTGGAAAAAGGCAAGACAGAGATTGAAGAAAACGAGGACTCCAATCCCGGCTTAGAGGCTCCAGAGGTCAAGCATAAAAAGGAGGAGGCCCAAGTCAAGGCACCCACGGCAACGGATGAAACTAGGACCAATGTTGATAAAAAAGCTGCGGTTGATGAAAATCTATCGAGAAAGGACAAACCCCAGCTGAAAGAAGGGGAGCTGTCCTTGAAGTTGCTGGACAAGGTTACGGGGGAGATGCCAGCGACGACGGAGATGCCAGGAACGACAAAGGCACCAGCCGAGAAGAGCCTCCTCCAACACATCTTCGACAAGATCTTGGGCAGAGGCAAGGGCAACGAGGGCAAGCGCCAGATGTCCTCATACACGGGTCGACGTCACCTGAGCACCAGCTCCATGGCTGCAATCTCCCTAAGAAGTTCTCCTGGTGAATCCCACTCCAGGAGTTGGGATAGGACACTCGTTCGGCGGGGATCTACCAACAATTTGAATGCAGTCTTTCAAGGGGAAACTCCTGTAATTGTTGGTCCGCAACAATCTCTTATAGAAACGCCCACATTTGAGCTATTCGCCAAGAATAAGAATGATGACACCGAGATAAAGGGAGGCTCTCCCGAGTGCTCCTCGCCCAAAAAGACGCCGCGTGACCTTCTCCGCGAGAAGCAGCAGACCAGGAAGATCAAGATCCTTGGCGGATCCGAGGAGTGCGCCAAGAAGATGAAACGGCTAGAGGAGCTCACGAGGAAAAAGGACGACGATGACTGCGAGCGGGGACACTTCTCCAACAGCCTATCGAAGTTTTTCCACCAGCTCTGGGTAAGTATGGGGTCACTAAACTGAATTCGGCACTTCCAGAGCCAGCCCACTACCAAGGTACCCTTATGTTACTTAATTGCCTATTAGATGTAGTTATCTTTGCATTTATAATCAACTGTGTTTTACAATACCGGTGGTACTTAGGCCAAGTATGTTTTCAATGATATATCGATGGCGGAAATATTACCCATTTACATATTATTTCCTTGGTTTAGAAAGTGTAAAAATCAACAGTTTATTAAAAATCAAACAAATAAAAATCTTAAAAAATCTCCAGGTTGAATTTTGCCAATTACAAATTACAAAAATTATTTTTTTGTGTCCAATACAAATTAATAAATTAGAACAGTACATTAGCACAGAATATTTTTCTTATAATTGCAAGGGTATATGAACTTCGGCTTACCGAAATAATCTTACTTTACGTTTTTTTTTTCACAGAGAACCCATTTCATTTGCCAAATTTGGGGCAATCAGGGAGTACTATTATCAGAGACCTTTTTGAATGTCATATCGAGGTGATTGGCGACCCGCTAACTGTAGTATATAGATTAGCTATATTTTGCACGACATCATAAGAAACGAGGGAATTATTCTGAGTCAATTAAAATTTTATACCACCCCGGGGCTTGATAAGGTGTTGCAAATCAGCGTGGGCTCAACTTTGATAATAAAAGTCTAGCGCCTAGGCAATGAAAACATTCAGAAATATATATATAAATAAATCTGTAAGAGGCTACCTAGGTTGTTTGTAGGTCAAGAATGAAAGCTCTAATTGAAGGGGGGACAGTTTTCTATAATTCCAGATGCGGCGAACAACTCAAGCAAAGTGAAATAATCTGCAAATCGAGCTGTCATGCACACGAAGATGTCGATCTGAATCTAACTGGATATTAGACTGAAATTTAGAGTTTCTTTGAATTATTTGCCCACATGAAGGGGTCGATCTGATAGCTTTCTGGAAAAAAAATAATATAGCTTATTGTCTGGATCTGGACAAATCAAAAGGGATCAACTTATATTATATATTACGATTTAACTTATGTTATTTTAACGTAATAAATTTATTCATGGAACAATTCAATCTTGGTAACGATGTCAACGTTTCATCGCTGGGGTAGACAAATATTGATGATATGATGGTGATATATTTACCCAATTTATAAATATTTTATGGTTTCAAATAGAGTTTATTGAAAATATTACGTATACGACATGCTGTCTTTGAACGGCGATATTTATTATAAGTAAAAATGAAGAAAGTTTTTTAAAGCAATGTTAAATTTTTGACATCAGTTTGTGAAAAATGCGAATACCGCACAATATTTCAATTTCCCGACATTAAAATTGATGATTAGGATATAGCCTATCAATGGATGCATTCCAATTGAGTTGGCTTACCTCACCTTTAACAACAAACCGGTAGCTCGATTGGGGTTCCAGCATTAAATATATCTATCAAATTATTTTATTTATAAACTTAAAATTTGCCATATTGATTTACTTATTATCTCTGAAATCTAACGTTAATCCTAATATACTAAAGAATATGTTTAAAAAATCTATCACATCTTTCACATTTTTACAAAAATCTAAAATACCCTATTACTACACTGCAATAAAAATGTAAACAAAGCCGAACAGCTGTGTTAAAAAGGGTGATAGCGTTTGACCACAAAACATTGGTGGGTGTGGTGTCGATTAATTCCTTATCGCTCTGCGTCTCCTACGTCACACCCACAATTCCGCAATTGACTGATTACCGCGAATTTGGAGGTCTACTAGTGTACGGTTTCTGATATTTGAATCAGTTGCGAATCGGCTTTTCGAGTGAGTGGTTATTGCTGATAGAATTTACTATTATAGCTTAAAAATGGCAAAGGATAATCTAACAGCAGTACTGCATGGCATTGAGGACATGCGATTGGTAAGTCCGAAAAGGATAATATATCTTACTCGATTATACAGAACGTCTTTTGAATAGGAACAACGTCCCATACCAGAGATTGCCGATGATGGTAAGCATTACGTGAATTAAATTAGTGCGAAAATAAAAATACTGTACAGAGTTAATTTTTTAACAATTCAGTGATAAGAGAATCTCAAATAAATTAAAGTAAAATGTAAAACTAAGCCACAATATTGACATTTAAAAATAATTTTACGATTATTTAGCTAAACCCCTTTTTTTGTATTTTTTTTCATACTTCTTATCGACTCAATCTAGCCATTTGAAGGTTAAATTTACATGACTTAATCGGTTAATGATAAGGGGAAAAGGCAGCTGACGCTGGGAAATGCACTATACATATTCTGACAGTTTAAGAGCTGTGAGGCAAATAAACTAAATAACAGGATATTCTTTCAGTTGTAGTAATAAACAACCCAGTAACAAACAACCCATAATAGATTTCATTATATTTTTACCTGCTTAGAGGTTCTTCTGGCCATGGACAGTGTCGGCATTTGTGGATCTGATGTTCACTACCTTGCCCATGGACGAATTGGTGACTTTATCCTCACCAAGCCCATGATTATAGGCCACGAATCCGCCGGAGTGGTGACAAAGCTGGGCAAGAAGGTGACCACGCTGAAGGTTGGCGACCGAGTGGCCATCGAACCTGGAGTGCCCTGCCGCTACTGCGATCACTGCAAGGAGGGCAAGTACAACCTTTGCCCCGGAATGGTCTTCTGCGCCACGCCCCCCTACGACGGCAACCTCACCCGATACTACAAGCACCCGGCGGACTTCTGCTTCAAGCTGCCCGACCACGTCACCATGGAGGAGGGGGCGCTCCTGGAGCCCCTGTCCGTGGGTGTACATGCCTGCAAGCGGGCGGAGGTCACCCTGGGCTCCAAAGTGCTCATCTTGGGGGCGGGACCCATTGGCCTGGTCACTCTTATGGTAGGTTAACCAGAAAAACTGAAGTATTTAAAAATAACTATAAAATTTAAACCATTTTCTTGCATTCAAAGTAAATTTTGAGACAAGAGTTTTGTGTTCGTTTTTTTTTAAAGAACATTTAAAAGTTAATACAACACAAGAAATATTGTTTTAAGATTTATTTTGTTGTTTTCAATATTTTTTACATAAGAAATATTTTTTAAAGCAATTACTTTTGTTTTTTTGATTTCTAAAATCAAGAACAAATTATTTTTTTATAAACTAAACATTTTCTTTGTTTAACTCTGTATATTTTTATATCCAAGTAAGTCAAATTTTAAAGTTGCATATTATCATTTCTTAAAATACAAGGGATATTTTCATTGAAAATATGCTACCGATGCATAAGTAAATTAAAAGAGTTACGAGTTATTTAAACTGGTTAGTCACCAGTTTTATACAAAAGTAAAAACGTAGTCAAAGTTGCAATATAAGCAGAATACCATAAAAGTATTTTCAAGTGACTAAAAGTGTTGTCTTATACTTTGCAGGCTGCGCAAGCCATGGGTGCCTCCGAGATCCTGATCACGGATTTGCTACAGCAACGCCTGGATGTGGCCAAGGAGCTGGGGGCCACCCACACGCTCCTGCTGAAGCGGGAACAGACCGCCGAGGAGACGGCGGAGCTCGTCCGGAAGACGATGGGCGGTCCGCCGGACAGGTCGATCGATTGCTGTGGTGCGGAGAGCAGTGCCCGCTTGGCCATCTTTGTAGGTCATCTTACAGGATCGGGTTAAATTGAAAAACTAAACTTCACATTTCCTTTTCAGGCCACTCGTTCTGGCGGAATAGTGGTGGTGGTGGGCATGGGAGCTGCAGAAGTCAAGTTGCCTCTGATCAATGCCCTTGCCCGCGAAGTTGATATCCGTGGTGTCTTCCGCTACTGCAACGAGTAAGTGTGACAATCCCCAAAGAGATCCTCTGCTTACCCATGTCTCCTTGCAGCTATGCCGCTGCCCTGGCATTCGTGGCCTCCGGAAAGGTGAATGTCAAGCGACTGGTGACCCACCACTTTGACATCAAGGATACGGCAAAGGCGTTCGAAACCTCGCGAAAGGGACTTGGTGGCGCCATCAAGGTGATGATCCACGTGCAGCCCAGGGACGCCAACAATCCTCGAAAATTTTGATCATATGTAAAAACCGATAAATATAGCCTTTAAACACAGTAAACTATTGCGCATCAATCAATCAGTAGACACTAGTCTTAGCCATGCACAAAATCTAACTTTACGACACCCACCACATTTTTGTGAGGTTCCGGTAAAGTATAAGCCGGCCCCTTTTTTTCAGCAAGGTTGTACATTAATACAACCAGATGAATCAAACGAAAAACGAAAATACCATATTCTCATATATCCTATAGAAGCGTAAAACATTTTAATAAAATATTATACAAATTTTTAAATTGGAACTTGTGAAATAGAGCATTTGTGTTGTTTTTGTCCATAGGGAGACTGCTTGAGTACAGAGAACCCATTTCGTCTGCTAAATTTTTGGGGGCAAACAGAACGGAAATACACAACTCACTATTATCAGAAACCTTTTTGAATGTCATATCGAGGTGATTGACGCCCCGCTAACTGTAGTATATAGATTAGCTATATTTTGGCCGGCATCGAAATAAACGAAGGGGAATTATTCAGATTCAATTAAAATTTTATACCACCCCGGGGCATGATAAGGTGTTGCAAATCAGCGTCGGCTCAACTTTGATAGTAAACGTCTAGCGCCTAGGCAATTAAAAACATTCAGAAATATAAATAAAACTCTAGGAGGGGACCTAGGTTGTTTGTAGGTCAAGAATGAAAGCTCTAACCAAAGGGTGACAGATACGGTGACAAACACAAATTACAAATCGAGATGTCATGCACACGAAGAAGTCGATCTGAACCTAACTGGATACTAGGGTGAAATTTTAAATAAGATGGAGCATGTGCCGACATGGAGGGGTCGATCTGATATCTTTCTGAAGAAATATTTTAAGAATGTATGTTATTTAAAAGTGTACACTGCTTACAGGTCAGAATTTATGTTTGTAAGCATACAAAATAAAACTACGTTTCAAATTAATGTGGAGCATTCGTTTCCTTTAATATAAAAGTAAAACAAGAGTTGACAAACCCATTTACATAAAACTAGAAAGTAAACAAACTCAGAATGCCTAAGTAAACATACGTTTGCAGTCACAACCATTTTCAGTATAATTTCTCAATAATATAGTATAAAATTTAAATAATTATAATTAGCTGATCAATGATATTTGGTTATTATTTTTATAAAATTTATTATCGCGTTTAAAAATCAACTCAAAAGTTAAATTTCTTAAAAACTTCACTGATTGATATTGACACTTTGATAACGTTCCAAGCTAGTGAATACATGGAGGGATTAAAGGGTTTGGGCCCCTCTCTTGGGAAAAAATAAAGATGCAATAAACTTGTCAATAAACTTCCTCCCTCACCTTTGATTCAAAAATGGGTTTTCTTGTTCATTTAATATTTTCCAAGTTGTCTTAGATATTAATGTCAGTCAAATTCACATTTTCCTTTGAGAAATGTTTCATCAATAGTTCAGTTTAGGCATTTCTTTCAAACACTAAACAACAGTTTGTTTAAGTTTTTTTTCCAAATTTTTCGTTACGTTTTTGAATCAAAATTTAACAAATTTGTTTTAATAATGTTTAAGAGATCCGCGTTAGTTCTAAGTCGGATCACAAAGGACTGCTTTAGCAGTCGCTGCTCACAGCCCGCTCTTTTAAGGTCCCATCATCTCAAGGTTCTACCAAATATAAAAAAGGAAGGTGGGTACTGATCTTATGACCTTCGTTACAATGTTAATATTACATCCGTGGTGTAGACACCTCCAAGACCGATGGCTTTCCATATCAGAGGCCTAGAAGACTTGACGACGGCTCGATCGGAGTGGTTCATGTCCAGGACCAGAAATACTCTATACTTGTCGATCCGTTGCAACGCCGATTCCTGCACGATCTGGAGCAGGAGCAGGACCAAAGGTCAAAGGAAGAGCAGCATGAAGATCTTAAAAGGATAAAAAGGGAATGTGTGAAGCTGGTCAAGGAGATCACCATGTCTGGTAAAGATGGCGACATTAAAAAGGCATGCAAAAAACTGGCCCAACAAGAGAAGTGCGATAAGAAAGAATTAAAAAAAAAGTGCAAAGAGTTAGCAGAAGAGGAAGAATGTGAAAAAGCTAAGCTCAAAAAAAAATGCAAGGAAATGAATAAGTGCAAGAAGAAGGATCCCTGCAAGAAGAAGGATCCCTGCAAGAAGAAAGATCCCTGCAAGAAGAAAGATACCTGCAAGAAGAAAGATCCCTGCAAGAAGAAAGATCCCTGCAAGAAGAAAGATCCATGCAAGAAGAAAGATCCATGCAAGAAAAAAGATCCATGCAAGAAGAAAGATCCATGCAAGAAGAAAGATCCATGCAAGAAAAAAGATCCTTGTCCGAAAAAGGATCCTTGCCCGAAAAAGGATCCTTGCCCCAAAAAGGATCCTTGCCCCAAAAAGGATCCTTGCAAGAAGAAAGATCCCTGCAAAAAGAAAGATCCCTGCAAAAAGAAAGATCCCTGCAAAAAAAAGGGTGATATGAAAAAAAAATGCAAGAAAATGGCCAAAATGGAAAAATGCAAAAAATTGGCCAAAAAGGAAAAGATGAAGAAAATGCAGAAAAAGTGCAAAAAAATGCTTGAAAAGGAAAAATGCAAGAAAATGGCGAAGAAAGATAAGTGCAAGAAAAAGTAAATGACCGACAGAAGTTTAACGCGGGCTCATCAGTGTTTTTTAAATTATGATATGGTACTATGCGGCTCTTAATCTTAAATACAGTAGGTTTTAAATTAAAAGAACATTAAAAAAACATTTGTTTCTTTACATGGGAGGCCTGTTACGTAAAAAAACCAACTTGCTCTGCAAGTACGAAGGCAGTGGTATTTTAAATTAAAGTACTCATCTGAGTGACGGTTGGTAGCCATCATTAAAATTGTCATATTATTCCCGCAGCATACCCTCGATATTAATGTCAGTCAAATTGCTATAACTTCAGATGTTACGGCTAAAGATCAGTGTAGGTCTTGCTTTCATAGACTAAACAACAATTTTTTTGTTTCAAAATTCTTCGTGACATCCGGGCTTAAAATTTTTTTCAAAATTCTTTGTACATCCGGCCTCAAAATTTTAAAATTTAACTTAAAATGTATCAAAGATCTGCCTTAATTTTAAGTCGGTACATACAGCCCATCTTTAAACGGAACCAGCACCTCAAGGTACTTGCAAACTTACAAAAGAAAGGTGGGTCTTTATCGTATGATACTAGTTAAAATTTAAATATTAATATATCAACGCTGTTGTAGACATCTGCAGGCCCGATGGGTTTCCTTATCAGAGATCTATAAAACTTGACGATGGCTCGATCGGAGTAATCCATATGCAGGAGCAGAAATGTTCTGCAGTCGCCAATCCGATGCAACGACAATTCCTGGACGATCTGGAGCAGCAGCATGCCCAAAGGATCGGATGGAGTCGGTGGTTAAAGGAAGAAAAAAAAAAGCATGGGGTTCTTGAAGAGGTTAAAAGAGAAAGCCAGAAGCTGGCCAAAGATGTCACAATGAGTGGAGACGATGGCGATTTAAAAGCGTCCTGCAAAGAAATGGCCAGAAAGGAGAAGTTGAAAAAGGAAGAAATAAAGAAGAAATGCAGGGAGTTGGCAGCAAGAGAAAAATGTGAAAAAGATAGACTCAAAAAAAAGTGCAAGGAAATGAAGAAAAAAGATAAATGTAAGAAAAAAAAACCTTGCCCAGAACCAGAACCATGCCCAGAACCTTGTCCAGAACCTTGCCCTGATCCTTGCGCAAAAAAACGCAAGAAAAAAGACCCTTGCAAGAAAAAAGATCCTTGCAAGAAAGAAGATCCATGCAAAATAAAGAAGGTTGATATGAAAAAGAAGTGCAAGGAGTTGGCTCAAAAGGCAGAATGCAAGAAACTGGCCCAGAAGGAAAAGATGAAGAAAATTATGAAAAGTTGCAAGAACTTGGCCGAGAAAGAAAAATGCATGAAGATGGCTGAAAAAGAGAAATGCAGGAAAAAAGCCAAGAAAGACAAATGCAAGAAAAAGTAAATGACCGATTGAAGCCGCGGATCCAAAAAAAAAAAATTTGATGTCTTTAAATAATTATTACATTATGTGGTTAGGCTATTAACTATGAAATATTATAGTTGTTAAATAAATAGCGATTTGGACTGTCAGCTCGAAAAATGTCAATTCCTTATTAATTAACGCTTTAAAGTGTATTTTAAATAATGAAAAAAAAGGCTAAATTTTTATTTAGCTGGTATTTGCTTTTGTATATGCGCCTCGATTCCGCATCACCACTTTTTGTAAATAAAGTATTAAGAAAACATTGGATTTTTTGTTGAGACCTAAATACTATGTCCTCAATCCTAACTAATTTATATAAGTTTTCTCTTACCATGCTTACACTTTAGTCGGTAATGGTATAGAGAAAGCGATTCGACCTCAGACCTTATATACATAATTTGTACCAGAATAAACATCATGATATAGTTCCTTACTTGGCTGACAAATGTTGCACTACTCCTGCAAATCCGTTACGTTTTTACGATCATAATACTTTTTGAAAGTCCAAATAACATATTTTTTAAATTGCAATGATAGTTAATTTTGGTTAAAACCCTATGTTAATCTTAGTTTTAAGATGTTCACAAAAATTATTTGAGAGAACGCTCAGTGTACTCAATAAAAAAAAGTTTAATAATAATTTATGTATATCAGTGGTGTAGGCACCTACTGGAGTAAAACATATAGAAAATGTGGTCTTAAAATGTGCTAGAAAGAAATATTTTAAGCCAGCCTTTTCCGATTTCAAATCCTATAGGCTAACTTTGATTATAACGTCAAATACAGGCCGATTTATTTTCCAGTTAAAGGAATATCATGGCGCAGATCGGGTCACAATTTTCTTAGCTTTTGCATTTTCCTAACTCTTTTGGATATAAAATTATCTGTGAACTTTTCGAACTAAATTTAAATATAAGATGTTAAAACGAGCCTCGCTTTCTTTAAGCCATTACCCGGATGCTTGTTTCCGTGCCTGCAATTGTTGCAGGTGTATCCGTATGCATCACGTGCCAAAAATCAACGAGGACCTTCTGACTGCTCACAAATCTGAGCAGGACTATTTAAGGGATTTGCGAAAGCTGCAAAGCCATTTGATTTCCCAGCAAGGTAGGTTTTGCAAACTAGACTAATTAAATTGTATAACCGTAACAGCAACAAAAACCGAAAATTTAGGATTTTTAATTAAAAATATATTGAGTTCGGCCTGGTTTGCCGAACAACCTTTAAGCTACTTTTATTTCTTTTTATTTAAAGTGCCGTTTCTTCTGTGTTCAGGTACAAGTGGTATTCCTTGCCTACGACCCGGTCAGTCTATGCCATGTGCGTTCCTGGGGGATCTTGAGCTGCAGCTGGAGCGAAGGATCCTAAGACAACAGTTTTCAGATCTTGAGACGGCCTTAAAGCTGAAAATTCTTCCGGAAACAGCCAGCGCCAACGACGAGTGCGATCAAGGATGTGGAGAAGGCAAGAGTGTCGCTAAAAAAAAACGGAAGAAGTGCGGCAAGGGTGGTGGAAAGAAGGGGGATGATGGCGAGGACGACATGAAGGAGCTAAAAAAGCAGTGCAAGAAGTTCAAGGCGGAGAAAATGCTGGAAAAGTGCAGAGAAAGTGCCGCGGCGCAAAATTGTCAAAAAATGGCTCAGGCGAAAAAATGTCAGAAAATGGCCGAAATGGAGCAATGCATGGAGTGCATCAGAAAAGAAAGGGGAGAAAGTGAAGTGGAAGAGGAAGAAAATGAATGTTGCGAGAAAGAAAAATGCCCAAACGAGGAGGAGGAGATCGAAAAGCTGAACAAACAAATCCAGAAATTAGCCGATCAATTGAACTGTGAAAAGTTGGCTAAAATAGAGGCCATCAAAAAAGCGTGTCGCGAGCAGAAATATAAAGAAGAGTGCGCTAGATTGGCCAAATTGGCCAGGCAGCAAGCCGAAGAAGAAAGAAAGCGGGCCGAAGAGGAGGCGAGAAGAAGGGCTGAAGAGGAGGCCAACAAAGGTCCCGAAGAAAATCTGTGCGAACTAAAGAGGCAGTGCGTCGAATTGGCCAAGGAGCAAAGGAAAAAGGCGAAGGCCAATCAGAAAAAACTCAAGGCGTTGGCCGAAAAGGCCAAGGCTAAGAGAATGAAAGAGAAGTGCAAGAAAATGGTTGCGATTGAAAAGTGCCGAAAACAAGCTTTAAAGGAGAAGGCCGACAAGGAGAAGGCCGAGTGCGAAAAGGCCGCAAGAGAGGAGGCGGCCAGGCTTAAAGCCGCCCAAGAAGCTGCGGAGGCACGAAAAAAGGGAGATAGCGATTATAGAGCCAAAAAAGCGTTGTGCAAAAAACTTAATAAAAAGCAAAAGCCGAAAAAAATTGACGTATGCGCCAAATACAAATTTGAAGATGCAGGCGAAGAATGTGAAGAGGATGTGATCAAAGACGAAATCAAAAAGGAAGTCAAGGAGATCAAAAAGGAGGTCGCTGGATTACCTCCTCCCCCACCTCCGCCACCATCACCTACAAACCCCAAGGCTGCAGACCCACCCCCAACACCACCCACGGCCGCAAAACCACCGCCTCCACCATCCAAGGCCGATCCCAACACACTTTTCCAGATATGCAAGAAGCTAGCCGAAAAAAAGCTTAGACAAAAGAAGAAAAAGGTCAAGGCGTTGAAGGCCAAATGCAAAAAAATAACACAAAAAGAACAATGCAAGTGTGAGAAAAAAACAAGAAAGGCCAAAGAACTGGAGGAGTACTGCAAGAAAAAAGAAGAAAAGAAGAAATAGATGTTGAATTCTCAGATCTCCCAGTTCACCAACTAAATTAAGGTCCTTGAAATTCAAATAGCTTTGCTGCAATGCTTTGGCTGTGCGCTCGTTACACCTCTTCATTAATTATTTGTTTTATTACGATAATAGTCGTACATCAGTTTCAGGCACTGTTGCGGGCTTATAAAATGAGAAAAAAATAATTTTGAGCTGAGCGATCGCATTTTTAAATCGGAATCGAGTAAATTGTGCGTATTTATACGATTAAATATCCAGATGCAGTCAAAACAATAGATTTTATATTTTAGCCTTTTAATACCTAGGCAACTTTAAACAACATGGTGTAAAATAACTAAATTTACTGGTATACAAACTGAAATATCTTCAATAGATTGGATCTATGATTTTTTTAGGCTTACTAGCTTAACTTCTACTAATAGAACGTTATTTAAATTTTTTGTTTTCAAAAATATATATGTATTCTATAAATAAAATAACAAACAAAACCGTATTTAACATTTTTTGTAAACGTTTGTATTATTTTGACTGCAGCTGTTCGTGCCTTCGTTAAGGACGGAAAGCTTTTATTCAATAAATGCAAGCCGATTGAAATTACGAAAGAAAAAACGAGCAATTACATCTTAAATCGAACTCCTGTCCACGAACTTCTATAGACAAGAGCTTCAGAATATCATTGTGAGTCTGGTTCAGAGATTTGATTACTGGTTCGCTGGCGGTGCCGTGGCATTATTGAACTGGAAGGTCGGATAGCGGGGTGCGAAGGCTCCGTCGCCGATCATTTGTGTATGCTCAGAGTCGTCGCGCCCGGCGATGGTCGGCGCCCGGTACTGGGTCTCCACAAACTGCGGTGGCGCTGAAAAATGTTACAAAAATTTTGTTCAGATGGTTTCACTTATTAGAAAAAGTTTGTTCTAAAAATTGCAAATATTAATTCAAAATGTTTTCATTTTAACATTGGTTTTGTTATTTAGAGATTAATAGCTCAAATTTGGTTTTTTAAAGTTTGCGGATATAATTTTTCGATTTCTTATATTTCAAACTACGAGTTTATACTCACGAATATTGGGATACAGCGAACCACCGCCACCAGTGCTGTCGGCCACATTCCAGCCCAGGGCACCGCCCTGGCCATCGCCTCCCGGAGGACTAGCCGGACTCACCGGCTGAGTAGGTGCTAGCGATGGATCCTCGGACTGGACGGCCGATGGGTTATCCGTAAACTGGGCGGGCGGCCTTACCCCCGCCAATGGAATGGTGCCCAGGGTGATTGGCACTTTGCCGGTAAGATTACGGTGCGGACCGCTGACATCGCAATCTACGTGGAGGTCATAGTCCAAAGCAATAATGCCGCAGTTAAGAAGGTTGGTCGGTGGCAGCGCAGGTATCTCCAGTTGCTGCGTAAAGGTGCGAGATTCTCCTCCATTGACGGGGCCAACACTTAAGTTGCCTATTATCACCTTGGACTCTCGCTTCTCGCTCCTCGGCTGATTTGTATGAAAGGTGACCAGTTTTCGCAGTTCAAACTTCACTGCTGTGAGATTCACATTGCTGGTGTTGTCCACCTCGCAGGTGATGGGCAGCACCTGGCCCGAAACAAAACCAGTTTGTGGTATGCTCGTAATAACGGTCAGCGGTCCGGACCGGCAGCAGAAGCAGCAAAAGGATTTCTCTAGCTCCAGTTTAAATGGTTCCTTGACGCGTGGATTGAGATTCAGATCAACGGGTGCTATAACCGTAAAGGCCATCTTCATGTCCTGATCGAATTTCCAGGGACGGTCAAGCGTCACTTTTATGGTGAAGCGCACATGGCCGAATTCACCCTCAAAGGAGGAGGGCAGATTCGGCGGCAGTGCGCAAGTAAAAGGATAAGTGTGTGTGCCAGGCGGAAGTTCAGTCTCAGAGCCTAGCAAAAATTTAAAATTTAGATTACATTTTCGTTTTTCTATCCACTTACTGTTTTTGCCACCCAGCAGATAGTACTGGATCTTGAAGTACTCCTCGTGACCCTTTAAGTGGGTCACCTCGTTCTCCGACTTTCCCTCGCTGGTGGTCACACTTTTCTCCTCTGTCCACTCGGTGTTGGCCTCACCTAAGAACCGAATGATGATGCCTACGAGAAACAAGTGGCTGTATTTACCGAACGACAATATTCGACGTCACTGTCGCGTTTTAATTTTAGCTATAAATAATATGAAAAGCTCGCCACGGCAAGCCCAACGGATGACATCATCGCCACCAGACAGCATCGCTCCCTTGTTTGATGGCCTCAAAATTTGATTATTGTGGAATATTTGTCACACAGATTACATACCCCTCCCTTAAGAAGAATTTATTAACTTTCCTTTGTGCTCACACTTGAATCTATTTATAGTTTGTTATCGCCTAACTTTGGAAAGGAGAAAGTGCATTTCTTTGGCGGGTTCAACAAACGCTAGTTATGTGTGAACAAGGTCGCTTAAAGACTATTAGACCAACCTATTGTGGGTTGCACACCGGCTTTTTATAACAAGATTTCATGGAGAAGTCATGAAAGCAAAAAGAACATTGCTGCGTATCATAAAATAAAGTTGCATGTGTTGCTCTACTTATACATCTAAAACTCAATTAATCACCGAACCTCACAAAGGTGTCGTCATTTCTATGAGTAATAGAACGCGACTGGGATTTTAATTAACATTTACTTGCAGTACCAACAAAGGTGATTCTTACTTACCTCGAACTTTTTTTGGCGAGTCAAATGTAAATTTCACCTGTCCGTTGACCGTTTGGCCCGCGTAGTAGGTGTTCCATGGGTTGTCCAATTGGACTTCACAACCTTTAAGGCCCATTTTTTGAGATTCTGTGGCTTGAGGCACCAATAAATAACGGCAATCTCGTTGTTTTTAAACGCCCTCCGTTCGCCGAATTCTGAGATTAGAGATGGGAGTTGTAGGTATCTAGGGATGACAAAATAATAAATAATATTTTTCGATAATTTTGTATGACCGTTTGTTGAATGATGCAGCCCTTTGTAAATTAACTTATCTGCAAATTCATTTGGAAAGTTTTGGATTGAATTCACCGAGTCGTTGAATTTCGATCAGCTGTTCCATACAAATAAAACATTCAGAAAATTCAGTAATAACGCAACCTCGCTTTTGATTTTTTTAAGATATATTAAAAAAAAAAAAACCAAGGTTTTCGTCCCAAAAATATGAAAACATTATGGTACGCGGGACAGCTGAATGACTATTGAACTGGTCAGCTTTGGTTCGCTCCCTTTATTGCTGAACAAATCTAATGAATTTTAAACGATTTATCCCTTCAATCGTTTGATTAAATTATAACATCTTGCAATTAAAATTTTAGAATTTTGTTATTTGTTTTCATAAAAAAAAAAATTAAAATAGGCTTTCCATTAAACCAACAAATAAATTGTTAACCACCCTGGCAACATAGACCACAAGTGGCAATCGTGCTTTTTGATCAACACTCGTGACTCACGCAAACGCATGCACGACTCCTTGCAAGTTCCGTCACTATTACAATACGAGAGCGAAGAAGAAGAACTTTTGCGAAAATTCGCTTTTCTCCCGAGTTTTCATTGATTAAACAAATCTAAAGTAGCAAGAGCATCGTGGAAAATGTCGCTTTTCCGCAAACCGAAGAAAATTCAGCGGCGCGTGTTTTCCAGCAACGCGGACGAGGAGGAAGACGGCACATCCTTAGATCCGGACGCCGAAATGGAGGCTCCTCCGCCTCCCGTAATTTCCGGCAAGCGGGACAAAGAGAAGAGCCGGAAGGCCATAAAACCGCAGGAGGACAGCGGCAAGCCGAAAGCACTGCTCAGTTTCGCAGATGATGGTAAGTGATACCGGGATACCAGAATCAGAAGGGGGTCTAATCCCTAATCCCATTGCAGAGGACGATGGCGAGGTCTTCCAAGTGCGAAAATCGTCGCACAGCAAGAAAGTGATGCGCATGATGGACAAGGAGCGGCGCAAGAAGAAACGTGAGGAGCGGGCGGAAAACAGCGGACATCCCGGTGGCGAAAATGGTAGTACACAGCATTTAGAGTCGTCCGGTGGCCTATCTTCGGGTCCTGCCAATTCCAACTCGAATCCTGCCAGTGCTGGCAGATATAAAAGTGCCAGCGATCAGAGTAAAAGTAAAAAAAGTGATAATCATATGATCCAAACCGAAATACGCACAGACGACTTTGTGGTAAGGTTATTATTATTCAATTTCTTCTACCATAATACCGTTTATTGAAATTTCAACATCAGAAATTACATTAAGATATCGTAGACCGATTAGGAGAAAATATTACACAATTAGTTTGAATGAATGTTTATTAAGAGCTTAGTTTAGATTGATTGTTTGGCATTAATTAGCCATTTTAATACAAAGTAGTACATTCGTTGCGTTGTTGCTCTTTTATTAATCAGTGATGGGAAGTATCTAGGTAGTAAGTTGTCCTTACCAAAAAATCAATCAAATGGAAATTTAAAAAGTGTTATCTTAAATATTTTTATAATTATTTTAAAAATAAATGTTGTAATTTTTTAGTAAAAACAGAATATGCTGGGCGCATGTTTACCATGTATAGAGATTTTGTTGGCATATACCAGCCAAGTTAAAAAAAAAAGATCCTACCTAGTTATAAAACTGGTTCTTACTTTTCCCACCATTGACTATAATCGCATGTCTTTCCTTCCTTAGCAGCATGAATACTTCAGCCTTACTTTGAACAAATCATGTTGAGATCGCCAATAATATGCATTTACCATTTGTCCCCCAGCTAGTGGTAAAAAAATCAGAGACCCCCGAAGCAGTTCTAAATGGTCGAGCTGCCCTCTGTGCTGGGCGGGAGGATATGAGCGACGATGATGAGCAGCAATCCGAAGATGGAGGCCATGTCAAAACCCGCCATCGCTTTTCTAAGCCGGAACATTTAAAACAGATGTTGGAGAGCGGTTCTATTCCAGATGCAGCCATGATACACGCTGCTCGAAAGCGCCGCCAGCGAGCCAGAGAACAGGGTATAATCCTTATGTTATGGTACCGGCTATTACTAACTTTTATTCTGTGCCAAATTCTAGGTGCTGGTGACTACATACCCGTTGAGGAGCCCAAGGAGCCGCCAAAGCTAAGCACCCGTCTGCCATGCGAAGACGTCGAAGGCGATCAATCGGATGACGAGGAGCGCATGGATATGAACGACATTACCGGGCGTAAAGAGCGCGAGGAGCGCCGCGAACAGTTCTATGCCGTCGAAAATGATTGTATGTAGGGTGGACCAGTCCGATTTGTGGCCAGTAACTGAGCCAGAGCGAATACAGGTGACCTACGTTAACTATTGCTAACCTTTCATTCACTCCACTGCAGCCACCGACGAAGACTCTGATCGCGAGATGAACGAGTGGGAGAATCAACAGATCCGCAAGGGAGTGACGGCTGCCCAGTTGGTTCATTCTCAGCACGAAACTGTACTCTCCCGTTTCATGATCAAGCCTGCTACTCCTGGAGGCGGATCCGCCATAGACGACGGAGATTTAGCGGCGCCGCAGTCCACGTCGACACTGCTGGAGCAGGCCTACGCCAAAAACGCTCTCGACCGCAGCAATTTGGCTGCTGCAGTTCGCTCATCCGCCAAGTCCAAAAAGGAGAAGGCCAAGGCTACGGCGTTGCGCACTCCGCAGGAGATCTTCGCCGCCATTCAAGCGCGTCTTAGCGAGCTCAAAGAACGCTCGACGGATCACACCGCCAGTATGGCCAGGATCAGTATCGAAATAAAAGCAATAAAGCTCCAGCAGCTGGAGTGCCAGCAGAACGCACCCACAGCAGCGGCAAAGTACAAGTTCTACCAAGAGGTAAAATGCTATGTGCACGACCTTGTCGATTGCCTGGCCGAAAAGGCGCCGGTCATCAACGACCTTGAAAAGCGATCCCTGCTGCAGTACGGAAAAAACCAACGCTATCTGGTGAATCGGCGGCGGCAGGATGTCCGGGATCAAGCCAAGGAAATCGCCGAGGCAGCAAGTATGAAAAAATTAATTATTATTGCCAAACGACCAGGAAGTTCTTTCCTTTCAATTCTGCTTTCCTAAAGAAATACGTATATATATGACCGATTCTTACAAAATTCCCTGTTTTCAGAGCCCGTCTCAGCTGCTGTACGTCGAACACCAGAATACGAAGAGCAAGTCCGCCGTGCCGCGGAAAGAGAGGGTCGAAGGACACGGCGTCGATGCGAACGTGAGCGGAACGATCTGCTTTCCTCCCACCTAGATGGCATGTCCAGCGACGATGAAATCGCCGACCAACAACAGGAGCAGAGCGTGGCATCTACGGCGCAGATAGAATCCCAGTCGGTGGAGGCCTTTGAGGACGTTACCGACGACTTCAGCAAGATCGAGCTGATCCTGATGAAGTTTTATGCCTGGCGAAAGACGGACATGTCCTCGTACCAGGACGCATTCATTAGCCTGTGCCTTCCGAAACTCTTGGCGCCGCTGGTGCGCCACGAACTGGTCCTGTGGTCGCCGCTGTTGGATGAGTACTCGGACATAGAGAATATGCGATGGTATCAGGCCTGCATGCTGTACGCTTGCCAGCCAGATGAGACCGTAGAGCAGCTAAAGAACGACCCGGATGTCAATCTGGTACCGGCACTCATCGAAAAGATTGTGCTCCCCAAGGTAACGGGTAAGTAATAATGTATTTTCTACCAAGGGGTATGAGATGTAACATTTTATTTATTTTGTAGCTCTGGTCACGGAATGCTGGGACCCCTTGTCCACCACGCAGACCCTTAGATTGGTTGGGTTCATCAATCGTTTGGGCCGTGAATTTCCGCTGAGCGGCAGCAACAAACAGCTTAACAAACTTTTCGAAGCCATCATGGAACGCATGCGGTTAGCCCTCGAAAACGACGTCTTTATTCCCATCTTTCCAAAGCAGTAAGTGTATAATTTCGTTTTATTTTGACAACTAGTTGAACTCTTTCTTTTACTATCCAGAGTGCAAGAAGCGAAGACTTCTTTCTTTCAGCGACAGTTTTGCAGCGGTTTGAAGCTATTTCGCAATTTTCTCAGCTGGCAGGGTATTCTAGCGGATGAACTGCTGCGGGAGCTAGCCATTGGAGCGCTGCTAAACCGCTACCTTCTGTTGGCCATGCGGGTCTGCACGCCAAACGATGCCATTAACAAGGCCTACATCATTGTGAATACCCTGCCCACGGTTTGGCTGCTCCCCAATAGCGAAACCCTCAAAAACATGGAGCTTTTCATAGGATATATAAAACAAACATTAGAGAGCTGTGATGCAAGCAATCCAGTCTTCATGTAAGTAATCTAACACAGTATTAACAAATATTAACACTTATTAATTCCATTTCCTTACTTCAGGCAATCGAGCGATAAGGCCAAGCAAATACTTCAAAGACTACATAGTTTATAAAGTGCAGGGATCATCATTCACTTCACATCAATCCTAACAATCAAATACTCGTTGTAGAACGCATGGAAGCACAACTTATATCTTTCTTGTTAGAAAATCTTATAACTATAAGACTCCAAACAATGTAAATAATTAGCAAGTGGTCATTTCTAAATCAAAGCTTGAGGCTTACCAAACTAAATTGAGTATAGCACTTTCAACACAATCAATTTTAAATCGTTTTTCTAGGAACATAAAACCTCGAAAGTGATAAAATTTGGAACTCTGTTTAAGGCTCATCGTTTTGTATCTTTACTGATTGTATTTAGGCGACTCTCATGCATAGCAATAATAAAAACAATTTATAAACTATGAAAATTTAACAACTGCAAAATCTATTTTGGACCAGGACCAATGTAAACGAAGATATAATGAAATGCTTCTGGAAGCTTAAGCAAATAGGGCAGTATCATCATTCCGCCTTAGAGACGGAGGCGCGTGTGTAATTCTGCGCCAGTTCGACCACTTCCTTTTGCATGGCATGAAGTTGTTCGTGGGCGATCTTTGAGTCGCTGCTGTCCGGTGTTGCTTGCAACACTTGCAGGACCAGGTCTGAAAATATTAACAAAATTAATTAAACAACGAGTTTCCGTTTTATACTCCAAAATCACCCCAGACACAGAAATCGTTCGATACATATAAATTTAAGCCGAAATTTTTACTGTGATATTCGGTTAGACTAAAATAAGGGCAGTGATAATACATTTTTAATGACAAATGAAACTTACCATGAAATCGGAGCAGTAAAGAGTTCTGTGACTCGTTTAGTGATCCACGAATGTGTTGCAGGATGGCGGAGACAAATTTTCCGGATGCGTGCAAAATGCTTCCACTGATCGTTGTGAACAGTATCAGAGCGGCCAGATGCAGCAGCAGCGCCGGCTCCTGGCAATCGAGCAGCTGCTCCTGTAGTTTCTTCTTATGGTCCGCGATCAGCAGGCGATCTTTCTTCTTGTCTACCTTCTTGATAATCATGCTGCAGGTCTTTAGCACAGCTTCCGTAGCAAGTTCAAATTCATCAATAGTCTTGTTCAGAGCCTTGTTTTGTTCCACCAACGCAGCACGGTACTGGGCATCGCATTCTTGAGCCAACTTATTGCGCTGATCCACGTTCAGGTTTGTATTTTTTACAGTCAGATTGCACTCGCTGGCAACGTACAACGAAAGTTCGTTGCAAATATCATTGCCCAAAGATTTTAGCAGGTATTTAACCAACTGGGTCTGTGTGTCCTGAGGAAAGAGCTTTAAACCCTTCTCGTAAAGGCGTATGTCTATCAACAACGTATTAATGCGATCCTGTATGGCCGCGTGCGTCTGACGGCGATTTGTCTGCGGTGTAGCCTCAAACAACTCTTGTGCACGTACCAAGGCCGCCTGATTAATTTGGCTTTGATGAAAAAGTAAATAATAAATTATAATTACCCATCATTCGATATCGTTCAAAACGCTTTACTTACTTCGTATACAGAGCAGCAATCGATTTTGACAAATGCTCTAATCCCTCTTCCTCCAGACTGGCAGTAATCAATTTGACAATATCAGTAGTCTTGACTAGTTCCAATTGCTTCACTGCCTTCTTGTTTCCGCCACCTCGAGAGCTTTGCTGTACCTCGTCCTCATCATCGCTGTCGTTCTGAGCTGCCGCCTTGCCTCGTTGGTGCTTCTTTGTGGATTTGGTTTTGGTCTCACGCCCCTGGGCTCCGCCACCTGCTTTGCCAGAAGACGCCTTCTTTCTGCGCTCGTCGCGCTTGTCCACCTTGCCATCGTCCTCAAGGTCTTGGGTCGAAACGTTTCCCTTCTGCGCCAGCGTTTTCTCCACGATGTACTGTTGGTAGATGCCGCTATCAATGGCCACCTTGGCCTGGGACTCGGCGAGAGCTTGGCAGGGCTGAACCAGCTGGGCAAGATATGGTTGCGAGAATACTACAAATATATTATTTATTTAATAAACTTATCAAACACCATGGCTTTAATTCTAAATATTTAGTTAAAAAGAATAAACTATTTTTTTAATAATAAGGTTTTTATATCACTTAAGAAATGCAAATTATGAAATTGTTATAATTGTCTAACCACCTTCATGGTCCTCTCCGTTCTAGATTAAAATAAATTTATTACTCGAGTTCGATTAAACTACATACCGATGCTGTCCAGGTACACAAAGTTGCTGGGATTGCTGTGCTTTTGCGCCATGATTGCGCCGAAAACTTCCTCGATGTCCTCCTCCGAGAGATTGGAAGGCAGAATGGTAGACAGATCCAGGTACTGCTTGGTGGCACTACACTCGTTCAACGCCGTGACCACTGTGAGCTCCACAAGTCGAGCGCCGAGAGCCACCCGCTTTAGAAAAAGGAACTCTTCGTTGGGGAATTGTTTGCGGATGTAGGACTTGGCATCCGAAATACCCAGCTTTTGGATGGCATCGTACTCAAGAAAGCTGTTTTGCTTGTAGAACGAGTTCACCCAGTCCGCCTGCGTCTTTGCATAGATGTGCGGCACGTATTGGGAATTGGCCAGTTTGGAGGTAACCTGGCCGGCTGGCGCGATCTCGTCCAGCAGCGAGTGAAAGATCTTCTCCTGAACTCCGATCTGCTGCAGGATCACAGCCACATTTGTGGGCCTGGTAATGGCCGACAGTGCTCCACGAATCTTCGCCTTGCACCGTTGGATGTAGGCCTGCGTGAAGAACACACGTGGATTGGTTGCATCCTGGCGACCCTTGATAATTCTGCCCAAGTGCTTCTCCACAACGTCGTGCTGCAAAAAGTCCGACGGCAGGTCAAACTGGGAAGCCAATTCCGATATGGAGATCTCTCCACGCAGCGCTAGCTTCTCGTTAATCTCCTGAGCAATATGGCTGATATAGTCCTCGTCGATGAGCTGCCCCAGTACCAGGTGTATGCTCGGATTTTCCGCAGCTATCCGCTCGGCTAGGCCCACAATACGTGACAAATCCACGTTCAGGGTTTTGCTGACCTCCACCAAATTGGCTCGTCCCCCGTTCACGTACAACTCATCTAGGATTTCACGCTCCAGGTGATCCGGTGTGATGTATTCTTTGCCATCGTTGGTGAACACCACCTCCAGCATCTGCTTCTCCAGCAGCAGTGTTACGATCTCCACGCAGTTCCGCTCCGAGAGCCTTAAAAAACGATGATGTTAGAAATGAAAGTGGTTAAGTGGATAAAGTTTGTCGGCGAAACTCACTTCTGCAGAGTAGACGTCAGCTGCGCCTTTTGAAAGTCGGCGGCCAAGCGCTTGATCTCATCCCAATCACTACCCATCTTTGTTATCAATCAAAATGATAAGATATGAAAAAAAAGCGAATCTCTTCCAGGTGACGTGAAAAAACTTGAGACGTCAACAAAAGTCAAGTGTGACCAGACCACGGGTTCTTAAATTACTTTCAACAATGAAGGTAACGCCTTAAGCCTTGGTGTCGGTTGAAAACTATACCAACTGCACCAACTATACCATAATGGAACTGTAAAAATGAGAAGATGGGTTATATATTTTATTTTAGCAAAAACAATAAAGTAAAATATACTATTGGTTGATCGTGAATCGAGGGAGATTTGCAAGTGCTCTCCATCCGACAGACCATAAATTATTAGAAGCCTAGAACCAACAGTATATGATAAGTATTTCTTATGCAATCTATTTATTTATTATTATTTATTTATGAATGTTTCCTGTGATCGTCAGAACCGTAGGTAGACTTAGACAGCTAACATAATAATGCAAACAATTGCAGGATGTGCTTATGTCTGGCAGGACCTTATGGGGATTTATTTTTGTTGCGTTTGTGTGTTTATTTCTAAATTATTTGCATCCCTAAAAACATGGAAATGATATAACAATGAGTACATGCAAAATTTCTTTACATGAAAACTTGACCCCGCATAAACCTAATTAGTTCGCAAAAGCTTCTGTGCCGTGGAACCAGTTCCACCGCCTGTTTTGTTCCACAGCACTTAAAAGAACACTTGGGAAAAACGATAAAAATATTTCGCAAAAGTCATGGCGAGCGCCGGGAAAGTCGTCTGAAACCAAATACATTGGACCGACTGCCTTGGAGCCACCGCCACCGATAATGACGACCGACTTCGGGGGCCAGTTTGTGTCCAGCAACCCAAATGCAAGCTGCAGTGCGTCCTCGTCGTCCCGCTGGTTGACGGAGGAGGTCTTTAAGCTGATAGACATTGTCCAGCGCGACGAGGCCATCTACAATCCGCGCCACAAGTACTACTTCTGCCGGCCGTACGTGGAGAACTTCTGGCGCGAGGTGGACCTGAAGCTGGAGAAGAATCCGGGCGCCAGTCTTGCCAAGTGGACCAACCTGCGCATCTCCTTCCGGCGCGAGTACACGAACTACTTGGAGGAGAAGGTACCGCCCTGCTGGTCCTACTTTGACCGCATGTTCTTCCTACATCCGTATCTCCGCAAGAAGCACCAGCAACCCAAATCGCTGGACACTCAGGTACAGGACGCCTTGGCACATCTCTCAAGCCTGTCTAGTCGCATGCAGCGGGAACGGGCGGTGGCCATTCCGGCCAGCAGTACCGGTGGTGGCCAGCCCACGCCTTCCGCCCACCAGTCTCCGCCGGCACAGCAGCTGGATAACTATCTGGACTACTTCGATGAGGGTGAACACAACAACTCCGAGCTGGACGATATTATGGAGGAGGAGCAGCAGCGCAGCAGCCGCTACCACAGCCAGTTGGACAGCAACGACATCAAGTCGGAGTGTGAGGAGCCGGTAGATGAATACGAACAGGAGGCGCACGAGCCGGATGAGGACGAACCGGAGGATCAGGACCTACATAAGATGGCGCCCACTTCGAGCTCTTCATCTATTGAGGCCCAGCGTCGCTACCCCAACCAGCAGCCACAGCCCAGTCGAATGAACTTGGGTCGTTTGCAGATGCGCGGGTATCAAGACGAGATGCGAGGCGCTATTCGTCCGCGGTCCCAGGAGCTGCAAGCTTCCACTGGAGCAGTAACTGGAGTGAATTTCACCTCCCAACCGGCAGCTCACCCAAACATTTCCTTTGTGCGTCCCACGTTCACTAAGCCCGTGGACTTGGTCAGCACAACAACACACAATGGAGGAGGGCTCACAGGAACTGCTGGCCCATCCGAAGCGGATTTGCCCACACCATCCTCAGCGGCAGTGGCGACACCCAATGCGCCAAGCAGCAGCGGTAATACCAGCAGCAGTTATCTCAGTCATCGGCATGTGCACAACCAACTTCATGGAGGACACCAACAAGCACCTCCATCATCGCTTCCTCTGCGCCTGGAAGCCAATAACCCGTCAAGCGGCTCCGTATCAAATGGCGGAGTAGAGCTGTGCGATTGCAAGACCGATCCGGATGCCATGTTTCTGATGAGTCTCCTGCCGGACATCCAGAAGTTAAACGGACGCGATCGCGGCAAAATCAAGATAGCCTTTCAGAACATTCTGCAGGACTACCTTTATCCGGACTAGTTTCGATCTCTGTGTATACTTTCCGCTTATAGCAACGGAACCCAGTTCCGCTTGCCATCTTGTTTTCGAGTATTTTCCCTGTTAATTTTCGTTGGTTAAATCCCTTAAAGCTTTGCTGTGCAAGAACAAAGTATCCTTAAAACGTTTTGAACACTATCAGCTATGTTTATTAAATGTATAAATATTTATAAATATTTAATGTGTAACACAAGAATAAATTCATTTGAAATTAAGTGATAGATATGGCTAGGAAACTGGAAGTATCACATGAGGATCGGACCGTATCGGACCCCATCCTCACTCGAAGAGCTTTAGCTCGCGAGTGATCTTCTTGATCTTGTTGTCCAGCGTCTTGTCCTCGTGCTCGCAAATGTAGTAGTGACGGGAGGTGCACTCCTGTCCGTAGTACACGTAACTGTGCTTCCCGGCATTATAACTCAGCCGAAGGCAGCGACCCTTGCCCTCGATCTGAACCGTATTGTTCAGCACATCCTCGCCAGCCGCCTCCTCCGCCGCCTTCTCCGAACTATCCACCAGATTTGCGGCCGTGGAGTTTTCATTCTTCTGTGACATCGCAATGGATGTAAGATTCATGTTGGGGTTAACTGGCTTTGCTGAGTTGGACCAGATCCAGAGCAGTCCTGGGTTAAGACCGCCCAGCCAGTAATCGCGACCCCTGTGGGCGGGTTGGTTCAGCAGATAGGCCATGATCTCTTCGTTCTCGGAGACCTTCTCGAACTCGGCCAGGTGCGAGTTCAGACCTTTGCAGGCGGAGTTGGCCGTCTTCCAGTTCACCTGCTGCTGACTGTTGATGTAGTAACAGTTGTCACTGATGCGGGTGAAGTTGGTGGGACAGGGATCCTTCACCTCCTTCTGATTATTCCCAGCCATCAGGTAGTAGATCAGCTGCTCCGAGCGCCTTACGCGACTTTCCAGGTAATCTAAAAGAGTTTGGTTTAAAGTCGTTCGTTATCGTTTGTGACTTCTTTCAATTTATCTTGATTTTAATTAAAAGGAACCGATGAACCTCAATTAGATATTTGTAATATAAAATATGAAATTTTATATATTAAATATTGATCTAAGTTTTAGCTAGTGTTCATATGGTTGGAATACAATATAAATTCAACCATAGGGAATACAGAAAATTTGAAGAATATGAATTTAAACTTACCAACTCGGTAAACCAACTTCTCGATGGCTCCCAGAAGATAAAGATCGTTTTCGGAAACCGCCCGGAAAGTTGTTGGCTGGCTCTGGCTGCCACCACCTACAATGTGCTGCTGCTGCTGTTGCGGGTGTTGTTGCGGTGCCTGTTGGACTTGCTGCTGCTGCAATGGCACCGGACGTAGATGCTGCTGGGAAGGATTACCACCGCCGCCGGTAGTGCTTCCGCCTCCGCCTATACCAAAAAGTTGCTGCAGGAAGCCAGGCTGCTGGCGTTGCTGCAACTGTTGCTGTTGCATCTGTTGCTGCATCTGTTGATGTTGCTGCTGTTGCTGGTGCAACATCTGATTAGTCATGGGTCGGAACTGGGGATTCACAATGGGGCTTTGGCTCTCCACGGGCTTTCGTAGATGGGGCTCCAGTTCCACGGCCTCGCCAATCCGCCGTGTGATGTAGATGTTGTTGCCGGGTCGTTTGTAGGCGGATGAGTGATAGTTGAGCGGACCATTCATGGCCATATCGCCACCCATATAGGGCAGATCTTTGGACTTTCGCTGGCTGCTGCTACCTTGGCTATAAAATGTTGGGGCAGATTTGCATAAATGTGTTTCCTAGTGCTCCTTAAACCCACCTCAAGACGTAATCTTCGAGAAACTGCGACCATGCTGGAGCCTCTGCGTCCGCGAGTGATTCATTGGCATATTTTTGCCTAGTTTCACCTTCGCTGGCGTTGCATAAGAGCCCGTGGCCCAGACTTAATGCCAGGTAAACAAGGGCTGCAAGCCGGAATTGTCTGCCAGACGGCGGCATGATGACACGTAATGTTTTCTGATGGGAGTATTGCCCCCGCCTCCCGAAAACACTTGGCGATTCAAGTCGCGCGCTAATCACTTTCGATTTCGGTGCGTTTTCCGTGCGGTTTAAGCCGCGTCCGCGTTTACTAGACGTCCGTTCGCTTGTGTCGAGCTGAAAACCGCGACTGAAGTCTGAGCTTAACTTTCGGGCCTGCAGCCGGTCCAAGCTGGTCCGCTCGGCCGGTCTCTCCACACCGATCGCTGATCACCGCCAATGGCAATGGCCCAGACCCAGACCTATTGTTGTTGCTGCCGGCCGCCGAGAAATGCAAAATTTCACTTTCTCCTTCGGTTGGCTCTTGGCAAATGTAAGTCATTGGGCTTTTCTTCGGTATCAGTGTTTCTCCCGCAGCTTTTGTGGCCCGTCAACGCCCGCCATCCGACCCACTGTTTGCACTCCATCAAATTGTACACAGCCTTAGGTAATTGACAGGCTTATGGGGCCGTCAATTGAAGCGAAAACTAATGTTGTAAAGAAATGGAGTTAAGGGTGTTCCAACATGCTGAGACGGTTTTTTTTTCAGATTGAAGAAACATTTGGATAATCTTTTTAAGACTTTTTAGAAAAACCCGTCTAAATCAAATTTACTAAGAAAGCGGTTTTTTAGCAGATTTTCAAAGTTTCGGTTTAAGTTTTCACTTATGAATCATATCAATAACATTTTCATAGTCTTAAACTTGTAGGCCATTGAATTAACCATATTTATAAATTTCCAAATTTGTAACTTTATTATACCCTTGGAGAGGGTATTATAATTTCAGTCAAAAGTTATTAGCTCCCATAATAAAACAAAAAATTAAAAAACAAATATTAAAAAAAATTTAATTTGGTGTTTTTCTATTTATCAAAATATTCCTTTGAAATAAAGTAACTATTTACTATATCCGAATTACGCTTTTAGTTTTGTCAAAATCGGACAACAATATCATATAGCTGCTATTAAAATGATGACAAAATGCAGCGAAAAGTCAACATAGCTTCATTGTTTTTAGTAATGTAGGCATAGAAATCGAAATGTCGTTTTGTCATATCTGCAAGGGTATATAAACTTCATCATGCCGAAATTTGCTTCCTTTCTTATTTTATTAAGATATTCCCACGTTTTCTGATTGGGAATATTCAAATTAATCTTACTGCTCATAAATGTACTTCTCTTTTAAAGCTTATGTCAGATCCCTCAATTAATTACTATAAATGTTACTATTAAGCCTTGTAAAGGACCAATCATTTTATCGTAGCTTAAACATGAAAAGAAAACTTTTCTTAGCTCGAATTGACTTTTTCTTTTCAAGTTTATGCCCCACTCTTATAAGATATACATACACATATGGCAGCATTCATATCATAATGTAAATTATGTAAATAATGACTCGAGCTTTTTAGTGTGCAATTTAACACACCACTTAAAATTTTAATAACTATTTTATGGCACCACGTCGCGAGTGGATGGAGAGAAAAGTCTCGGTGGACAGATGGGGGAACTAAAGCTTATTTTATTAGAAATGCCTTTGACCGGGAGAATCCATTTGGCCAATAGTGACAGACCCAGACCCCCATTTCGAACTCGGCCTTAACTGGATTATTGATGGTCAAACAGCGAACTGCCCACATATGCAAGAGATCGCTCAAACTACCAACTGATTCACCCTGAAGATATGAATGAACACAAGTATATATATTATATATACAAATATCTGAACTTTCATTATTCATTGCTTTGACAATTAGCGGATGTTAACGATGTTGCAATGAAGGCCTCATTTTGGGAATCGTGATCCATGATCAATGATGACGCACTTTGAAATCGGTTGTTTTGGTTGAAAAGCATCCATTGGGGTTTCCCAAAAATCATTGAAAAAACCGAATGAAACTTTGCATAATCGCCAAGACCGCCTGAAACCCAAAAATTTATGGTTTATTTAAGCGGATTTTGCTGACGGGCAAAGAAAAGTTTTACGCATCATTAAAAGCAAACATCAAACATATAATTTTTTTAGCAAAGTTTTTATAAATTTTTTTATACTTTTTTTGTGGGTGTTTTTTGTTTGTTGTGTAATTGTATGATATAAATTCAATTTAACGCAGGCTTCGTTTTTAAAATCTTAGATATGGCCCTGTCTCTTTCTCAGCCATTCTCTCTGTCTCTCTCTTATTGCCTGGCTGTAAGCGCTTCTTAATATTTTTAAACATTGGCTTTAAAAATACAAAATTCGTTTTTTTTGGGTATTTTTACATTCTGCTACTTTTTACTTTTAGATAATTTTATTTTTTAGAAAACAAAATAATTTCCATTTTGTGTTATCCTTGGTTCTACACAATCTATGCTTGGTGTTTCTTGCTGTTGTTGATCTGGTTGTTGTTGTTATTTATTTATTATGAAATATATAGCTTTATAAAGAATACACAATGGATGTTGTTCTTGGTATCTGGGGCCGCAGTTCTTGTTGCTGGCCAAATCAATCTGAGATATTCGTTTACAATTAGTAGAGTTCCTCGTCGTCTCCATCTTCCTCCGCTGCTGCTCGATGTTGTTTTGGTTTTGGATTTTGGGACTATCGGCCATTTTAGTAGCCAGCCAACTCGGCGAATGTGGAGTCCATCTCGTCGGCCAGGGACTTGTACCTGTCCTTGTTGATGCCCAACTCGTCTGCGGAGTGGAAATGGTGGTTACAGAAATATGTTAGATCATTTTCAAATGCTTTTTCATCACACAGCAACATTGGAATCGAACACAGAACACTTAAACTTTATACTGTGCGAATTCGTTGGAGCAAAGATTCTAAAACCTTACCAAGATGCGTAGGATAATAGCTCGTGGCTCCTACTCTTGTTAAGTTTATAGATTTTTTTGAGCCGAGTTAGTGGCGCGCTGTTCTGGCAAGCGTTTCTAGTTTATGGGTTAGTCAGCGGTTCTGTGCGGGGGCTCAGGGGCTATCTATGGGGGTGCTCTACGGGATCTAGCCAAGATCTATCCAACCAATCGTTGCAGAAATCCTTGGCTTGCGCGGAAATGAGAGATTCACTCAACCAAGGCCAGGCGAAATCAGCTCGAAAACCATTTAATGACGCGGGACTTGGACTGATGATCGTCGAGAGAAAGAAGAGAGACATAGATTGATATAGAGTGCTGGTCTGAGTGCTGAGATTCTGGGCAGGCGAGACAGGTCAAGAGGTCATGCCACATCAAAACGGGTAAGAATCTGGCATACAAACAACAATATGTACATTGATAAATTCACCTGTATTAACTACAGTTGCAACTTGGTTTGGCTTGATCTGAACATATTTTTACAGTGTACTGGCGTGGGGATCTGGTTGAGTGGGTGTGGCCACATTCAAGCGAGACTAAACAGATTATTTACAGTGTATAGAAAGTCGTGGCAGAAGTGTGGGGTGGGTGGGTGTTAAATACACTGAAACTGTCGGGGGAGCTTTCAAAAAATAATATATATATAATATAAAAACTGTGGGGGACTTGGGAAGTACTGAATTTTGTGTTGTCTTTTTTTGGGAGGGGCTCTGTGTGAGTTCTGTTTCGATCTTTTTTAATATCCAGTAAGTTCGGCAAATGTCTGGTCCAAATCGTCGCAGATTGCTTTGTATTTTTCCTTCTCATTGAAGAGACGGTCTGCAAAAAGCATTTTGTTTGTTGTTCATTTATACAAATATATATAGATATAATCAAAGAGGGCGAGAGGGAAATGTGTGGATGTATAACGTCAATTAATGAAGCAGAGAGTACTAAGTAGAAGTATTAATATCCTCATGGCGATAAATACAATGCGAGCATTAGTTGAAGCCAGCAATCCGGCCGATCGAATCGGATTGCTTCCTGTGGACAGCATCTCCGGTGTCTCATGGAGAGATACCTCCTCGGGAGCTGGCTGAGTGGGTAAGCTGGATGGTAGGGACGGCAATACATACCCTCTAGCCTGTCGACCTCCTTCTGCAGGCGCTTCACTTGCTTCTCGGCGTGCTCGGCGCGCTGTTCGGCCTCCTTCAACTTGATGGACAGGGTCTTCATTTCGCGCTTGAACTCCTCTACGCGCTGGTTGGCCTTCTCCTCGGACACCTCCAGGGACTTCAGGGAGTTGCCGACAACCTACGTCGGATGATTTAAGAAGAAACAATATTTTTAGCTACATTTTAAAACATCAACTATTAACATTCGAAGTCCTAAGCTGAATGATTACAACTAATAACCGCAATATTATTTAGAAAAATACATATAAATGTCTGAAGTCAATAATTAATGTGTAATATTATTATAAATAAACCATTTTATTAAATAAATCAAAATAGGAATCTCAAATAAAAAGTTCCTTTGTATCCATTTAGTATGTCTTTAATTTTACAATTAATCTCTGCAGATCTAACATGTCTCTAAAAATAAATGGGTGAGTTGTTTGGAATACAATGTTTTTCGAGTCCATGATAAGCCTGTAATCATGGCTTCGAAAGACCACTAGTGTGATTCCTATATGCAAAAATCATGAGAGCGCTTAACTGCAAGTGCAACCTACCTTCAGCTCCTCCTCCAGCTCCATGATCTTGGACTCGCCGGAGCGGACACGATCCTCAGCCACCTCCAGCTCGTCTTCAACGAAGGCCAGCTTGCGGGAGACTTCGTCGGACTTGGTGTCGGCATCCTCAGCCAACATGCGGGCCTCCTTGAGCTGGTTGGTCAGCTGGTCCATGCGCTCCTCATCCTGCTGGGAGCGGTTCTCCAGCACCTTGCACATACGGTTGTTCTCATCGGCGGACTGGGTGGCCTCCAGCAGCTTCTGTTGGGCGGTGGTCGAGCGCTCCTCGGACTTCTCCAGATCCTCCTCAATCTGCTGCACCTTGCGGTTCTGGGTGGCCACCTCGGACTCGGTGGAGGTCAGGAGCTTCTCCTTCTCCTCCAGCTCGGTATTGGCCTTCTCCAGCTGCTCCTTGGCGGTGACGAGATCGATCTCCACCTGGACGAACTTCTTCTCCAGGTCGCGCACCTCCTCGTTCAGTTTGTCGGCGCGGGAGTTGGCATCCTTGGCTTGGTTCTCGCAGGTGTCGGCCTTGTCGATGGCGTTATCCTTCTCAAGCTTCATCGCTTGCATCTTCTTCTTGATGGCGTCCATGGTGTTTGTGTTTTTGTTGTTGGCTTAGAAAGGA